TATGATTTTTCTTTTCTCTTGCATTTTTTTCCCCATTCCATTACTACTTCACTAGAAATCTATATTAATTTGTTCGTCAGAACTTACTGTGTTGTGTCACTGGTGAAACGTCTTGTTATTTTCAAATAGTTGAATACATCAGGAATTTGTTTCTCACAACAAACCAAGGGAGTATGCCTTTATACCGAGCCAAGGAACTGACAGATTGAAAGATGATGGCGTGCATCTTATGATTTGGTTTCGTGCCATGCGAAGGTGTTCAGCATTTTCTGCTGAAAAAAGGTTTGGCCTATGACTCACAACATTAGGCTTTATTCTGTTCCAATACAAAGGACTTAGTAGACTTTTTACAGTATTACTATAAAAATAAAAATGTGATACCTTATTGGTTCTTGTAGCAATATCTTTCCTTTTCCATCATGGAATCAGAGGTCAGGGTCAGCTTGTAGCACACCTGCGCAAATAGGGGTTCAGTGCTTTGCTCAAAGACATTTCAGACAGGTTGATATTGACCATTTATCAAATTTAGTGAATTCATACTGGAACATAGCGATATCATGAACTGACACATACTCAGAAGAAAATAAGGAAAAGTATTATCAAGAGTATTATCCATTATAATTTATTTATAAATATCCCCCGATTACTCCAAACATGATGTACAATATTTTTGTTTCATATGTTCTTTGTATATACATATTTTCTTGCATTTATTCCTATTGAAATGTCACTAGAAATCTTTTTGTTGTTTGTAATAACATATAGTGTCACACTCGTGGAACTTCGAGTAGATGAAATGTTTTTTCACACTACAAAAGAAGGGAGTGGGCCATGATACTGTGCCAGGAAACATATCAGATTGATAGCTGACAGCTCCTACGACAGCAGCACCTATGTTACGCCCAGCTCGTGGGCCACAACAAAAGAGGAAGACGCACACTAGGCTTATCAGTCACAATCTTCAATTTATTAAAGTAAGTCAAAGTAACGAAGAAACAACAGGTTGGTGAAAATGGAGTGACACTCTGGCGTCTGGGGAGGCGGGGTTAAATACAGCAGAAGCACTGGCCAGGAGATACGAATTAGGGTGATGACCCCTCAGCTCCACCCAGCCAAGGACCTATAAACACAAAAGCACACACACACAGTACCAGTGCAGCAGGCCCAAGGCAACAGGCCTCTGAGGCCGTCACACCAAGAAAAAGCAACCAAACACCCTCAGTGACTACAGACAAGTGGCTTTGACTTCACATGTCATTAAGTAACTGGAGAGGCAGGTCCTGAAGCACCTCCATTCATTACTCGAGCCATAGCTGCACCCTCTGCTGTTTGCATACCAGCCCCGTCTTGCCATTCATTTTCATAAAATTGCCAATATTTTAAATCTACATAGTTGAATCCTCAACTCAAAAGCTCTATAAAAAGAAATTCAGTGATGAAATAGCTTACAAAAATAGCAAAAAGCTTTACTATTGTTGGCCTGCCTCCCGCTACTTGATTGCATGCTGAAATGAATGCTGGGATACTTTTGCTGTCAAATTCACACAAGTAACCAACCAATGCATCCTCTGCGAAATGGGCATGTGACAAACACTTCAGAGAATTTTAACTGTTCTTGGCAGAAAGCGAACTTGAGGATCGGGACATTACTTTGGTTGCAAAAGATGACGTTTAAAAAGGACACAAGAACACCAGTACAGAAAAGAATGCAGATAGATAGATTAGAGACACAGTAAACCTATTGACACTTTCATGGTATGTTAATAGCTGTACAAATTACAGTATACATTACTGCAGCTATTACTAACTTAACTTAACCATGAAAGTGCTCAGCAACATTATTTATTTTTCAACTAATTTCTGAAGTTAAAACATTTCACTGAGTGCTCAACTGAGACCCTTCAGCTTCACCTGGCTGTGTTGGCGTCAACAGCTGCTGCTGCCACCAGGAAATTGAGATTTTGTTACACTTTGGTTCCTCTTTAAAATGTCTACAATATCAACTAAAGATGATTGATGTTAAAATGTCACGTTTGAGCAACGAAAACAAACTAGCTAGCACATTAGCCTACACCTGAAATTCAAACATAATATCAAATGAGTGATGCTAGTTATGTCCAGTAAACATATATTTGTAGGCTCATGAATTAAAAAATACCAACCGGTTCTTCTAATTTCATCTGACAGATGCTAAGGTTACCTTGATTTGGTGTTTCAGCTCATCGAAAATGTGTAGTAGGCTACTAGCCACAGCTTGGGGTTGCCAGATCCTTGGGTCTGATATCCCCCACGTCTCTCCTTTACTCTTTATCAAAATAGCCCACTTTTGCACAAAACACTCAAAGCTGGCAACTTGGCATAACACTATTTTACAAGATATCAGAAGGTAAGAGAAAAAGTGAGAAAAAACAGTGATTTAACACAACATTATATTTAACAATAGGCCAAAGTATTATTTTAAAAAATACAGTAGGTCTACATCTTATTAGCAGATTGAACTCCCAACACAACATACCTAATGCATCAGGTGTAACTTGTCTTGTGACTTTAATAAGTGCTGTTTGCTGCATCATTGCTGTTGTTGAATGTCTGCCTATTAGGCGTATGATTATTGTCTTTAGTCTGAATTAAGAATAACTTGACTCACAGTAAACTTTATGTGACTGAGGAGCAAACCTTCATTATATAACAGTTTGATTGTTTTCTGAATTCTTATTGTGCGGTTTCGTAAATACGAGACAGAGTTCTGCATTAAATCAACATGTAAGTCACAGGATTGTCAACACTGTTTGATATGATGACGAGGAAGTGCAATTCAAAAATAGCACAGGGATAGAGTATGTAACCAAAGACGTCACGGAAACTAAAAGGAATGCATCTTGATAATACATTAAAAAAAAAATAATAGCAGGACAGATGGGGTTAATTAATTAATTAAGCTACAGAATAATGTAAGCTCCCTTTGAAAGAAAAATATAAAATTGAACAGAAAAAATATAATTGATATGGTTCTAGACACTTGATAATAAAAATAAACCAGACAAACCTGGACTTTAACCTAGCATCAATGTTCAGCTTTAACCTCCACTGCCAGTGTTGAATTCTATTCAAATGGATTTGCATTAAAAAACAAATCAACAGGTGTGTTGAGTGTCACAGGCTACACAAGCAGTAGCTCTCCCATCACGTGTGAGGCCACGTTGCAAGATAAGCTAAATACCCTTTATGCTCACTTTGACCTCAACAAAAAGTCGTCTGTCAAGCCTGCCCCGCCTCCAGACGGCCTGCTATTGTCAGTATCCACAGCAGTTGTGAGAGAAACCCTAATGAGATTAATTATGAGTAAAGCTGCTGGGCATGATAACATTCCTGGTTGTGTACTCAGAACATGTCCCAAACAGCTAACTGATGTATTGACACATCACCGTCACAGGAGAGTGTTCCCAAATGACTGTTACCTGTGTCACTAAACCTCATTGTGATGAAGTGCTTTGAGAAATATGTCAAGCTCAATATCACCAGACATCTTAGGCTAGTTTGGTTTTGCTAGATTTCTCTTTTAACTGGCTCGGCTCCACTCTTAAAACACTGGCACAAAATCTGTTTTCATGGCAACACATATCTGTCAACTTAAAATGACGTTGCATTTAGGCAGATACATTGATCTCTGGTGAGCGAAAATTGAACAACCCAAATATCAGACTGAAGATGGAAACAGAGTGCAACGAGTTGACAATTCTGTTTGATATCAGGCGAGGAACAACTAGCAACATTTTATCGTTTTATGATGCCTCTCAAGAGAATTAATAGTTGACAAAATACACTTTGTAGACTTAGTCGGAGCCAAGCAGTAGCCTCCGGTGCAGAGAAATGAAGCCAACAAGGAAGAGCCAAAAACTGCAGTTCCTCAAATGACCATTTGAGGATGGCTCCAAAAAAGGGAGTCAATCTCCATAGACCCCCATGTTAAAATGCCCAACTTTATGGCAGAAATAAACATGTTCACAGCCTGGTAGAAAAAAACATCCTGTTTTCTAGAACTAAAAAAACAGTTGTCCCTGTTCATAACAACTGTACATGATGTTAATTTATGTTAACTCACCTGTTTTAAATATATTAAAGCTTGAAGTTAGACATAATTGAGGCCATGGTGGCTTTGAGTGACAGGTGGGTACAGTCTCAGGTCGCTCACCACCAGCTGTCTGCTCTGCTGCGTCACCCGGGCCAAACACGACAATCCCCCTCTTTACCCATTTTTTACCAAGCCAATAGCCGTAGCCTCCCATTTTGGGCTATTAAAAAAACTATGGGCGATGTCACAAAGACTTGCCCCTTTATTAATGTTCAGAATGTTAAATACAGCTCCTTTAAAAAATATAATACAGAAATTACTATGAAGAAAGAATAGACCCACACAATGCTACTATTTTCTATCCTTTATTTATGCTGGGGGACCTCATGATTTATGATTACCTCATTTAAAATGTGTGTCCTCCTATGTGTAAGATATTTAATTATAATAAATATAATATATAAATATAATCAACTTCAGTTTACTTGTTTTTACCAAAAACATATGCTGTAATAGTTCATTTCTATTGATATTTAAGGTGGAAAAAAGTACAAGTACATATTTATAATTCATTAAAAATAGTGATTTAAGACGAACATATAAAAATGACACTTTCTTGGAAGAATATGAGGAAATAAAGATGAGATGCTTTCCTTATGATATGTCAATATATACAGTATATATATTATTGCTTTGTACTTTAACTGTATTGTATCACGTATTCACATATTTACTCTGATAATCTCAAACATAATGTACAATATTCATTAAGTATGTTTTAATGTGCTTTTTGTCCGTTGTATTTCTTCCTGCTCCATTACCGTGTCACCATTATCTATATTTATATTTTTGTTTCACTGTCATGCTGGAAAAACTTCTTTCAGCATTGTCAAAGGTGGAATGCACCAGTAATTCACAGGACAAAAGAAGGGAGTGTACCACGATACTGAGCCAAAACACTGACAGATTGACAGCTACAATTAAGAATATGCTTTGTTTTGTCTTCATGGCAGGGTTGAATAAAAGACATCTATGACTTACGTCATTAGCCTTCATTCAGTTTCAATATATAGGCCTTAATAGATGTGGAGTGTCACATAAGGAGAAAGGTTTGCAATATCACAGATGTGAACTGGACTGAATTATAAGACACTGAAATAGTTTAAAACATTGAAAGCAGAAAGAGAGGGGGAATTTATAACTTTTCATCTTATTTCTCATCCTTTTGGGTAAGTACATTCTGAAATCTGTTGATAATACTGTCCGGACATTGGTCCATACAAACTAAAAGAGCATTTGTTGCTAGATTGGATCGTGCGATCAGGAGACAATTTAATCTTTTTTTGTCAGCACCATGAGACCTTGAGCAAACACTGTACTAGTGTTACCTAAAGTATTAGGAAGCTGATTGACCCATATTGGGCAAGTGCCAATTTAAGCAAAAGCTTCAATAAACTTAAATAAATACATTTTACTTTGGTTCATCCACCAATCCATTTTATGCCGCTTATCCAGGTCGAGGTTGCATTAATTAAATTAATTATATCCCTAAGAATCAATTTTCTATAGTTCTGAGAAGTACAGAAAAATGTGATATCATAAATTATTTTACGCTGCACTCTCCCAACTGGTTTTCAACCATACTTCGGGCAGTAAATCAAGAAACAGGTATTAACAACAATATGCCACAATTAGTCATTTCAAAAACTCCGTTTTCATTTATTGACATTGAGGTTGGAAGAAATATATATATTTATATACAATATATATTCACAATATATTTCATACTTCATATTTCCTACTGGAGCATAATAATGTCACCAAGTGACACTGTTAGTGTCTAAAGTAAATATTAGAAAATAAAAATGAGATGCTTTTCTTTTTATGTCCGAATAATATCATTGTTTTGTACTTTGATTGTACTATCATCCTTTATCATCATTTATATATTTACTCAGATAACATATACAAACATATATACAATATTTATTCAACATGTTTGTTTGTGCAAAAACATTTTCTTGCATTTCTTCTCGCTCCACATCACTAGAAATTTATATTCAAGTGTTTGTCCTCACGTAAATTCACACTGGTGAATTCCTTTCAATGTTTAGGTGGAATGCTCAGAAATGGAATAGAGGATGCCATTATACTGAAATTATTTATCCTGAAATTAGGTTTTGTACCTTGCTGTGCTGCAAGATCTACGATTTACATTATTAGTAATATTAGTAATGTTCCAAAATAAAGACCTTAATGAATGTAGACTGTTACATTTATACTTGTTTCACTCATGGGGACTTGTAGCATTACCATTGCTTATGAGTTACTGCAGGTGTATATACCAACATCCCTGAACAAACACAAGTCCATGCTTACTCTCAAGTGCACACACATGCTCACACACACTCAACACAATTACATAATTTTTTTTCTTTTTCTTTTCTTTCTTTCTTTCTTTGTTTTGTTGTAATGTAATGTCTTGTGCATTTTTTATTTTATCTTTGTAATCTTGTAAAATTTTAACATTATATAGGTGGAGGCTTCAAATAAGCCCAGTTGGCTTTCTGTCTCTTCTTGCACTGTGATATTCATTTATCTCTGTTATGTCTGATTATTTTTAATTTTATTGTTTGAATTGTGCAAAAAAATAAATAAAGAAAAATAGCATTTAAGGTTTGTGATATCACAGATAGCAATATGTTAATTCCAATTTTAAGAAATGTTCAGGAAACATTTTTGTTTCAGGAGGGAGTTTAATCCTTTTTTGTGGTGTTTCAGTTAGCGCCATCAGACCAGGAGCAAACATGGTTGCTACTGATACATTATATAGGAAGCTCATAATCACCTTTGTTGCAATCGGAATGATGCATCATTTCACATATTAAAAGATACAACATGTGATATTTTTAAACTAACATAACATTTTTGTAATACTTTGTGATATCCTGCTTCAACGGTTTGTCTTTGGCTGATATCCTAGTTTATTCCCCAATTAAAGGTGTTATTTCAAAGATGTTTCCTCCATCTCCATTACCATGGTTGGTGTAACCTTTCTTTTGGCAGCGTGGTAAAAATGCACTGTTTTAGGTACAAACACATGAGCATCCTGTACTGTAAATCTGAAGAGTACAACTAACTCATAAGACTCATTGGTAGAGCTGATAAAAAATAAGTATAGATCTTTATCAAAAATGTGATACAGTATTGGTTCGTGTAGCAATCTCTTTTTGTCCTTCTCAATCATGGAATCAGAGGTCAGGTTCAGATAGTAGCACACATGCTCTAATAGAGCTTCAGTGCTTTACTCTAAGACATTTCAGCCTGGTTGATGCTTGGAAACAGTAGCACAGATTGTTGCACCTGCCTGTTCAAGTACTCTAGTTTTTGAGGGTTCAGTTTTAGCAATAAATTCTGAAAACCTGACATGGTTTATTTTTTTCTTTGTATTGCTTTGACTTTGGGAGACTGAAATTAGGTCTTGAGAAGGGAAACAAATTGTAAGCCACTATTCTGATTGACTTGAATTTGTAAAATGTTTGGTAATCTTGTTAAATATCATCTGTTCAAATATAAACACAAGGGGGAGGACATATACAGCCACATTTGTATTGCTGCTGATATTGCTTTATCTATTTAAAAAGTAATAATTGTAATATGTATTATTGTAATGCGTTATAGAGCAAAACCTTTTGACGTGCTGTGTCTCTGAAAAAGCTGTATTGTTTGATTTTATAGATTCAGAGTAAAAAACGAAATGGATGTTGGACGGATAGTATCGATTTTCCTGATACTGATAGGTAAGTTGTTTGACGTTGAATCCATTGCTTTTAAAAGTTAATGATCAACTAAAGTTAAAAATTTGTAGTAAACAACAAAAAAATAATTTAAGGTGGAGTTCTTGCCGACATCTCATCAAATGTTTCTTTTTGATCAGTGTATTATAACCTGAAGATCATGATAAGTTTTGATATTCATTTTATATTGTTTTACTTTTGTCACGGCACCTACAACAGCCACACCTACGACTGCAGCAACTACAACAGCCGCAGCTACGACTGCTGAACCTACAACAACAGTTGCACCTACAACAGCAGCACCTACAACAACAGCTGCACCTACAACAGCCGCACCTACGACTCATGCACCTACAACAACTGCTGCCCCAACAACAACTGCTGCCCCAACAACAACAACTGCTGCCCCAACAACTGCAGCCCCAACAACAACTGCTCCCCCAACAACAACTGCTCCCCCAACAACAACTGCAGCCCCAACAACAACTGCAGCCCCAACAACAACTGCTCCCCCAACAACAACTGCAGCCCCAACAACAACTGCAGCCCCAACAACAACTGCTCCCCCAACAACAACTGCAGCCCCAACAACAACTGCAGCCCCAACAACTGCAGCCCCAACAACAACTGCAGCCCCAACAACAACTGCAGCCCCAACAACAACTGCTGCACCAACAACAACAGTGGCACCTACAACAGCTGCACCTACGACTGCAGCAACTACAACAGCCGCAGTTATGACTGCAGCCCCGACAACAGCAGCCTTGACTTTCAGATCTTTGAGGATCACATTTACACTTGATTTGAATGATCCATCAACTGAAGCTTTCAAAACTCGATCCAAAATGGTAACGGAAGAGGTAAGTCTCACACTTCGAATCAAACCTGCTGGTTCAACTTCTGAATTATTTTATCACAGAGCTTAAGCACCCAATCAAAGGACTGAAAACTTACTAGAGAGTATACATACTAGATATAAAAAATCACGTATTCAAATTTCCAGAAGGAATTAATGAAGGAGACATTAAGGGGAACAACAAACTGAATGGCCCTCCGAAAGCCGGTGATTGCAAAACCGCGGCTCACATTACTGCAGACTCACTAGCGTGTCGGAAAACTACATGACCTCAACCAAACATAAAAACGCTCTCTGTAGAGCCAGTATTTGATTTGTGGGCTACTGTATAAACACTGTGTTGCAACACGGCAAACTCCGCGGGGAGGATCCATTCCCTCTATAGGCATAAAGGGCTCATTCTAAGCCAACAAAAACAAATTCTTAGTTAGATTCTTAGTAACAGCTGATTTCAGACTAAACTCATTAAATATAGTTATGCATGTTTTATTTCATTTCTACTGATAGATCCCCTGCAAACCTACACACTGGTCGTTTAAATACAACTTTATTTCTGTTTCTGCAGCTTGATCGTGTGTACAAAAGAAGATTCCCTTTCTTCTTCCTCTTCTCAAGAGTGTTGAGATTCAGGTATTATGTTGAGAGATACAGTTTTACAATTGTTACAATTCAATAATAGTGGCTTAAATCTAACACATCAAACTACATGTTTTGTTTCTCCTGCAGAAGTGGATCAGTCATCAACGAAGTGGAACTTACCTTTAACACGACACCTGCTCCTGATACTGTGATTAAAGAAGCATTGATGGAAGCTTCAGACGTCCCCGAATTGAACCTTGACCCCAACTCAATCACTGTGAATGCCCCATGTAAGCAATAATGAGTGCTACTTGATCAAAAATGTCAAAAGTTGCACAAATGTTTGTCAAACTAATTGTTTGTTTCACTGCAGCCCCAACAACAACTGCAGCCCCAACAACAACAACTGCAGCCCCAACAACA